CCCCAATTAAAACCACAAATCAATCCCACAGTGCAATCATTAGAAAAGTTTTCATGTATTCAAAGGGTATAAAAAGGGAGAAACAGCATATGCCAGTTAAAAATCATGTCTTATGTTCCTCAGAAAAACCATTTTTTAACACTGGTATTCAGGAAAAATCCCCATGGGATACTAATACACCATACAGAAGAGCAGTTCTTCCTGATGCTGTTTGATCCATGCTGAATGTTCACCCAACCTCAGGCTTTAGCACTAAGTCTGTGATATAAAATTGAAAGAACTTGACCTGAGAGATGTCTGCCCCAGATTATGTTGCCAGTCAGGAAATAGTTTCAAGTTCCTCAAAAATTCTCCTTTTCAGTTATATGATCTGAAATATCTACCCATGCACATTGGACATTTACTTAATTCTTCAAAAGCTTTTGGAGGTTGCCCTCTTTTGCCCAGAGCTAACCTTGGACAGCCCACAGGTTTGTTAAGTACTGCACACACTTTGCTGTGATTAGCTGGATTTCCTTCTGGCTCACTGAAAGTATTCACATTTCAGTAGACCACCCATCTGCTGCTCTGTACATGCATGGATTGGAAACGAATTAATCAAAAACAGTGGGTTTAATACTTTTTGACACCTGAAATTTTGTCTAATCCTTTACTCTTCCTTCAGTGTTATAAGATATTTGGATCCAGAGAAGAAGAGAGACTGACTTGGCACTCTGCAAGAAGTGCCTGTATAAGATTAGGGGGAAATTTGGCCTCTATACACAATGAGCAAGTGCAAGGTATGACATCAGAACCTTTTGGCACTAGGTATGAAGCCAGCACATTTCACCATCTAATAACAAGGCTGAACTAGCCTCCAGATTCAAACAGCATAACATACGAAGGGAGACCCAGAGCTGCTTGATCCTGAGAGAAGACTGGAGTGTGATAAGACACTTTCCATCTCTTGGCAAAAGCATCATGTGGAGGGAACAGGTTAATCTGTTCCCCATGGCTTTGGAAGAGGGGATAAATAATAATAGTTCATATTAATGAAATTCCCACAGGTAAACAAACATCCATCAGAAATGACATATGTACATTTAATACTACTTTGTGGAAGGCTGATTAATCCTTTTGAAGTCCCTTCTAGACCTAATTTCTATATTATTTCTGAGAAGTATTTATCATTTTTTATCCAAAAAATATTTCCTTTTTTTTTTTTAAAAATTAAATCAAACTGCTTCAGTTAAATTACCCATTGCATTTTTTCTCTTTTACAATTAACTTGTATTCTAATAATACTGAACCTGATATTTGCAATATTTTTAAAAGTTAATTGGTTGGTTTATTTGGAACTTGGTTTCAACTGAATTTGAAAAGGCAACTCCTCAGCTACTCTCTTTCTCTGATCTTTTTTTTTTTAAACAGCCTTCTTCACCTTCCACCTGAAAGATGTTGCCAATGAAACCTGGATTGGATTGAATGATATTAACAGTGAGGATACATATCTCTGGACAGATGGAAGCTCTTTTGACTATTCAAAGTGGGGAAGACAATTCCCATTTAGAGATAAATATATAAAAGTTAACTGGAAGTACATTACAATAGAGGTAAACCAAAAAAAAATCAATCTGAAAATTCATAACTTAGATAACATACTCAAGGTTAGTGTAACCAGACATTCCTCTTTCAGCTAGGATCCTGTATTTCAATGGCTTAAAGCAGAAGGCAACTGAATAATATTTCAGAGATCAAGTATTTAAAGCTGTACCCAGAGATTAATAGGCCTGTTTAGAGTCTACACTTTTTGTCATTCCTTTGCAGGAATCTAAAATTGCAGAAAGGGAGTGTTGTATTCTAATTACCACTAGAATTAATTAGAATTATTAGACTTTACTGAAAATATTCAGTATTACTAACTTGGATTTTTACTGTGGTTTATTATTTCTCCTTGTACAGCATCAATCCAAATGAAAGTTCAACAAATTCAGTACAGACTACTATAAACGACATAGTAAAAATACTTTTGGTGCACTCCAAGAAATTTTAATAAACTGATAAAAGTTCTTGCAGTAATCTGCCAAGGAAAGAACATTTGTTTAAGATATATAATACAAGAATTTTATTTTCCAAGAAGCAAGAATTAAAATAAGAGCCAGAAAATTAGAAAAGAAAGCTATTATCTTTGTCTCCTCAAATCTATTTCTATTATTTTGCCAGGCCTTTTGCACTTCATCAGCTATAACTTTCTTTTTTATTTTTTCCCTAGACTGATTGTGTTGCAATGACAAAAAGATCTGTAGATGAAGCAGGGTGCTGGGAAAACACTGACTGCCAGCATAACAAAAGTTATATTTGCCAGATGGACAGCAGTAAGTTTTACTTTTCACCTTTTTCATTGGAAGACATTTACTGAGTGATCTGACGGTACAAGTCCTCAGTTGTAACGGCCCAGCTTGTGCCTGTAGCAGCCAGGGTGAGTGAAGCAGAGTTACTTTCCCAGCTGAGGAATTCCATACACAAAACTCACTCTGGGATAAGGATTATAAAAAAGTTTTGGCTTTACAGCCTCTCTCCTACCAGCATACCCACCAACACTCACAGAGGCTGACTTCACCTGCCCTGGAGACATCTACACTTACATCAGTTATCTGAAGTGGTGAGCAGACACCTTGAAAGTAGGATTCACCTGTCTCATCCTGAGGCAAATGCCCAAAACAGGTTAGAAGAGCTGTGCCTTCAAAATCACTTTTTCTTGATTGACATAAAAGTTTAGCCATCTGTACTTTACCCAACTAGCACAGATATAGCTATCTGAATGAGGTTATTTTGCAAATGCAAATACAAAACATAAAACCAAATCCATCAGTGATCTCCACCATAGGTATCTTAGCTAGCTAGACAATACACTGAAAGCTGCTTCCCCACCCTCACCCCCAGATCTAAACCCCCCTCACCAAAAAACCCTCACACAGGCTCCACTGGGCATTAACTAAGGTCAGTTAAACTGGTTATTTTGCTCATCAGTCTCCAGCAATGCTTTCATATCACAAGACCAGCAGTAATAAGAAGGGCAAAAGTTCTAGTGTTCTTCATGTATCCTCAGGGTGGGAGACACATCCGGAGCACACATACACTGCAGAGTACACAGGAAGAGAAAAAGAGAACTGCTGAGCAGCAAGTAAAAATACAGGAAGCAGCCACAGCTGGGCCAGATGTTTCAGGGCTCCATCCCGTGCAATTGCAGAAAGCTGCATGAGTGCATCACTAACAAAAACAATTGCCAGGGTATTCTCGACACTGAAGACAAAGGCAGTTTTTGTCCTTTCTTCTGTCCCCATCACTAGTTCTACATCTTTGTTTTCTAATTGTGCATATATGATTTAGGGTACAACTACAGTTTCCTTTCTCACTTCAGTCTACATGGGGAAGAAGTAGCAGCAGAGTCACAAACTTTGTTTAGAATGAAATTCACCCCTATTTTGAGACTGAAGTGGTGTGGAGATCCTGCACCATGCTTGTGCTTGGGGGGAATTTCATCTGCACCGTGGGAGAGGTACCTAGAGAGCTCTTGGGAAGGATTGTTATGTGATCAGTATTCACATAATTTCATCTGGTGCAGTGTATGTCTATAGGTTCCCAGAGCTTATTCTCCCTAATCCCTGAATACACTACTTACACTATAGTTAAAAATAATTACAAGTTACCATTAAAATGTCTCCTGTGTTTTAAATAAGAAATGCGTTTACTTGATGCTTGTGTTGCCACACTGTATTAATCTGTTACTCAAAAGTAATACTGCTGTTCAGGCTGCTAGTAATTTTTCACTGGTTTTTCCCCTTCTTCTCAAATCTGTACCTCTTTCCTACAGAGCCTGAACTGTTTCGTTCCACAACTGCTCCAGATTCTGATTTCATCCATTATGGTAACAGCAGCTATTTAATCATTCGTTCTAAAATGAATTGGGAAGAAGCAAGAACAGCCTGCAAGGATAAATCTTCAGAGCTTGCCAGCATTTTTGATTATTATAGTAATATATTCCTGCTGCTGCAGGCAGCACAATATGGAGAGCCCTTATGGATTGGGCTCAATAGCAATGTGGTAAGATTAATAAATTGGTAGGTGGTGCATTTAAATGTTATGACTGGATTACTATCAGCAGGGAGAATTGTAGCATGAGCAGATTTAGGAACCTAGGACTGGTGGATAGCACTCACTTCATTTGACTTTATCCCTCTTAATTTGCCCGTAGGCAATGGAGAAGGATGGGAACCTCTGACAGTGCTGGCCTCTTTTTACCAACTCCATGAGAATCTTACACACTTAGGTCAAGCTACCTGGTTAAGTTTTGGATGGCCTTTTTAAAGAGAGGTGAATTCTTCTCAAAGGGACCAACAGGGTCATTAAGGCTAGTGCCTTGTGATCATTGACAGCGATAGTTTTTTCATTACTTTTTAGTTCATAAAGGTTCACAGGACATAACATGTGCCTCTGAACACCCTCCTTGTTACACCTGCTAAGTCCAAAAGATTAAAAGCAGTAAAAGCTATACTGTACCAGAAGTGAATATGGAAATCCAGGTCCACCACTGTGTAAGGGAACACTCAGGTGAGCATCAGTTTTATTAGTTCTGTGACTGTCAACATGATCTTTGAGTTTTCTAGTGAGTATGGAGTTAGTTGCTCAATGCACTTAACTATCATGTTTCTATTGTATTGTTCTTTGAGCTGACTAAACTACCATCACAATAAAAAAGAGCTCTTTCATCAGTAATAATCTTGTTAACTAGTGGTTTTTACTAACTGTGTTTCCACACTGATATGTAAAACATGTCTGAAATTCAGTATCCCTACAGAGAACTTACAATATATTCTGTGTAAAAATAGCATTTCTCATTGTGTGATGCAGAAGCACTCTGATAAAACCTCTTAGAAGGCTATATTTTCTGAGACGGTGAACTTGTTGCTGAACAATACATATTTCCACAGTTCTAACAGTGTCTCTCCCTACCAGACAAACTGCTTGGTCTTATAATATGTAAGAGATTGATAGTCACCAACCTTGACATAAATCTTTCCACTTGCACAAGTCCACAGGACATCTCTATCCCAAACAAAGCAGTATTGTTTTAAGTCCACTTGATATCAAAGTCGGTTGCTTTTACAATCATAGAGACATGGTTTAGAAAGCAGTTAAAAGTCTATTATGATCAAGTTTGGATCACCAGACATGTTCTTCCAGTCCTGCTGTTGCAAGAGTGAAGCTTTGTGATTCTTCCTGATCCCTGGGCAGCAATCTTGCCCTGATGGTGCTGAGCTCAGGAGGACTTGTGTGCCTGACCTCTTGACACATCTAGACACACAACTGGGTCTGTTCCCTTTTCCTTATAATTCTTCCATTTTTTCCCAGGGAAAAAAGAGTGGAGGGAGGGCAGACTCAGAGTCACAGTGATAGCTGCAGTTTACTCCTGAATGTTTCTCCTCAAAACTGTCCTTGAGCTTATAGTCCTTGTTTGACCACCATTGGTCTGAGACCCAGTTTCACTTGAGCTTTCCATAGGTTTCATGTTCCTCTTCCGATGACCTGACTCTGGGAGAGTGATTCTACCCCACAGTGTTGCCCAACAAGGGACTGAGCACCAGCGGTACCTAGCAAGCACTAGTTACCCTTCAGAACACTTTCATGGGCTGTTACAGCATAGGAGGCATACTGCTGTGTCTTTAACATTGCTGAGTCCTGATTCAATCAATATTTCAACAGTACTAGCACAGATATACAAACTGAAGAATATATATATCACTGTGAAAATGTGAATTTGTATAAATCCACTTACCTGAAACAGCAGATGAGAATGTAGAAAAAGTATGTCAAAATGTCTGTTTCAATTTTAGACTTATGGCTATTACAGATGGACCGATAAAAGGAAATTAAGTTTTACTAAGTGGTACTATGGAGAACCAAAACAGAAGATAGCCTGTGTCTATCTAGAGCTCCATGGGACTTGGAAAACAGCACCTTGTAATGAAAAACATTTTCCTGTCTGCAAAAAATCTGAGGGTAAGCTATGATGATAGCTTTTGGTTTTATGGAAGAAGCCTTGCTGGATCTGCTTTGACTGAAATAAAAATTTCAAAGTACATATTAAGGAATAATAAGCACGAGTATATAATGTCAGTACCTTTATTTTATATGAACGATGTTTTATTTTGATGGAATTGTCATTCGCCAGACAGGATACTGCCATTTCAGTGGACTGGGATGATAACTGCCACAGCAGTTATACCATGTCACAGGCAGACAGAGCATAGAGATTGTGGGAGTACTAAATATTTCACTTCGAGTCTAGAATGTGAACGTTTTTGCTGACAGGGATTTTATGGGAAGGACTGTAATCAACAATGTCCACTGAGTATAAAATTTTGTTCCTTTAAAATAAGTAGTGTTCATACAGCGGTTACAGCTTCACTGTTAGTAGATTCTAAAAACTGAGGAAAGGAGGAAGGGTTGTATCTGGTTATTCATGCAGCAGTCTGGTGGCTGCTGCTAATGTATTATGGCATTGGGAAGAAAAGTCCATTATCAGCCCAAACAAAAGTTCATACTTCACAGTGATTCTATAAGTGTCACTGAGGAATACTACAAATTAAAATCTACAGAAAATCCTTAGGATGGGACTGAATTTTTGCTTTCTCATTTGTATTAGAGCAACTGCTGTTAGCTCTAGTGACACTGAGTTAATGGAAATTCTGAATTTCTTTTGATCTGTTTTTGTATAGTTTTTCTTTAATTTCTCTTCCAGGCCATGCTCTGAACTTCAACTCTATTCATTTGCAACTTTTGTTTTAAAAACACATCTACTGACTGACAATGTTACTGTTTCTTTCAATAATGTAATTGCTTGCAGGAAAACGAGGGACTACTACACAAATATTCAATGAGCTTCAGGTTATTCCATGCACTGCCAGAGTTCAAGCTGTTCAGAAATTCTTTGTAAGGATTATTATCTTGGGGAAAATATCAAATGGAAAAATTTCACAGTAAACTGTGATTTAGATGATATTTCATTTAAAATCAAATTGTTACTTGAACCTTTTGAGGGTTTGTGAGTTTTCTGGCGCTTTTTTTTTTTTTTTCCTGTTTTTTTCTGTACCTTTTCTTTATACAAATTTATTGGTTATAACAAAATAAACTAGAACTAAAAATCCCTGAACACTCAGATATCCTTGAGACAGTCCAAGTTTGATTTAGTTGGCAACAGAGGAGCACGAGCTCACATTGAATCATTCAGCTGTGACTGAGCAGTTCTGCTCCTCATTGTCACTCTTTACATAGTCACTGATAATTCTGGCACTGCATGCTGAAGAATATTTTAAGCACCTTTAAGGAAGATTTTTTTTTTTTTTAATACTCGATTTTGTATCTGAAGAACTGCAATCCCTACTGAATGAAAGCATCCATAATATCTCATTTCTTTTAGATGTACTTCCTTCTGATCCCCCACAGGATATTGGAAAATGTCCTGAATCTGATCACATATCTTGGATTCCTTTCCGAAGCCACTGCTATAACTTCAATGACAATGAAATGAGCTGGGTTCAGTCTGTGACTCAGTGCGTTCAATCAGGTAATTATTATTTTTACCCAAAGATAAGATTTCAATCTTGACAATAAAAAAAACTTTAAAAAAATCTTGAAAACTACTGCTGCAAAATCTACACATATTAAAAAAAGAAAATCAATATCTCATTTGTTTTTCACTGTTGATGGATGCTGTTTGCTTTTCATTTATGTTGAAATTAGGGAGATAAATTTTCTCTGTTTTTGTTTTGTTTTGTTTTGTTTTTGTTTTTGGTTTTTTGTTTCCAGCTGTGCTTTTTTCTTGTTATATTTCTTCATTCACAAAATTTCTCTTTTTAGTAGGGTTTTAAAATGGGTTAACTTCTTTCTGGCCTTACATCTTCTTTTCCATATATGTCCCTAACATGGGGTGTGTGATCCAAAAGCGGCTGCGTGTTCTGCAAATCCTCAATCTACCAGCCAGGCTCCCTGGCAGCTTGCAGAGCTAGGGGAGGGCTTATGCTCTCCCTCATCTTGGAGGCAAATGGTCCTGGCCAAGACTATGAGCTGCTCCTTGGCCCTCTTCCACCTATGCTGCTGAATCATCAGCTACCTCATCCATGCTTCGCTAGGCTGTGAAAGGGAAGCACTATTCTGCCCAAAAGAAATGGGTCTTTTTCTTTCATATCTTTTTAGATTCATGTAGCCCTTTTGCTTCATGACTGTTGACAGAAAAATCAATATTTTTGAACTGCAAATTTGTTTGCTGGGCAATATTACATGCTACATAATATCCTGTCAAATCCATGAACAGCAAATAAATAATCATCTGTAATACCTATAAAAATATTATCCAGTCATTTGAAAATAATGTGCTCTTTGTCTGGTGTTTCAAAAATCATCATCCTCACTGTGCTTTCCTGTCTTTCATTTCAGACAACATCACTCATGGTCTGTGCTGTTACCCCACAGCTAAACACTACTTTCTAGCCTCTATTTATATCCTTGCTTACTCCCTACCAGCAGGAGAAGTTTTATTATTAACCTTATCCTATATCAAAGGCTCTGACTACCTCTGACTTCTAAGGCAGGGGATACCTCAAATCATCTTCTGCTGGTTTTCTTATAGGTGGTACATTGGCTTCTGTAGAAGATCTGGCTGAATCACACTTTTTAGTGGAGCATGCATACTTATACACAAGCAAGACAAGTGGCTTTTGGATAGGAATATACAGAAATGTAAATGGTAACTGGTTTAATTTCTATATAGAATCATAAATAGACTTTATTAAATGGACAGAAATATGATTGAGATACATTGTTTTTAAGGAATAATTGAATTTCAGTAGAAGCTAGTTAAAAAAGGATAGATTTATATAAAAATTCTTAGAAGTTAATGGTTTTATCCAATAGGTATGAAAGGCCATAGAAAAGAAACTTGCTTGGCTTCTTCAAATAACTTGCAGTTTATATATGATTCAGTAGCAAAAATCTGGAGAGGTGACAGGAATATCTCTTGAAAGGCACAACACAGAAGATACCATTCTTTAAGAAAGCAGGATACAACGTGTAATTTCAACTATCCATACCTGGGGCAATCATGGGCCTTTTTTCTAAATTCAAATGATTCAGGAGTTGCTCTAATTGATAATTTTGCCCAGCTGGTTACAGTGGCAGCATAACCAAGACTTCACAGAGGATCAGAGCCAATGACACATATTTGTCCCTCTGACCTCAGTCCTCTCTGAGGACATCTCCTATTCCTGGGCTGCGAGAAAGCATTTCCCACCCCATTTGCTCTGTGTCCCAATAGGGATCATGTCCCAGCTGACTCACATCTTCTCATGGCTGAGGAGCACCACCTGGGAGTTGTGGTTGTCCAGCCAGAGTCCACAGCATCAAGCTTCTCTATTTCTGTATGGGGAAAAATAGGCTGCTGGTTGCTAGAAGAAAGACTCCAGTGGAAAACATGCATCTGGAAGAAAACAACACTAGCGTCAATCCACAATCAGTCAGAAAAGATTTTTTTTAGATTAATTTTAACTCATTGATACTTCAAAATTTTTATCTTGGAGATTATGCAAAAAAGAAATGTTTTAATTTTAACTAGTGTATGTAAAAGTTGCTTGATTTTCAGTGACTGAAATTTCAATGAGAACTAATAACTTACACATTTTAAAATAAAAGCTTACTTTTATTTATTTTGCTATTTGAAATTTTACTCCTCTAGATAAAACCATGGAGATATGCAGATTAAAAGTAAGCTATGATTAGCAAATCTGCAAATCATAATTTTGAAAAGCAATTGTATTGTTTTTAAGAAGAGACTCAAAAGAAATAAAATGCATTAGAAAATAACCACAGAGGGAATTTTTGAAGAAACTAGTATTGCTTTATTAGGCTAAAGTAATAAAATAAGAGAAAAGCTAATATTAGTGAAAATCTTTGATGTGGAACTATTAGTTTTGCTACTAACATTTGTGATATTAGGGCAGCTGCTTTGGCAAGACAACAGCACCTTAGACTTTGTCAACTGGGCTGAAGGTCAGCCTTCGGAGGAGCAGCTTCATTACTGTGTGGAGTTGTCTGCATTCTCTGGCTACTGGAGTATCCTTCCTTGCTCTTCCCAAAAGGGTTTTATTTGTAAGAAACCAAAAAGTAAGTCAGTTCTTTAATATTTGATCTTGATGTTTTGAAGTTTTATTTCAGTAGTAATAACGCAATATAGACATTACAAAAGACCAACATAAAATGCTGTATTTACAGACTTTTCCTTATCATCTGTTTCAGCATTCAGGCAAAAATAATATGAATATATAGTTATCCCCCTTCTTTTTTTTTTTTTTTTTTTTTTTT